TCATGACCTTCATAACCAATATCCTAAACGCCCATGATTCCAAGAGATGATAATTCCGCATGACGCTCAAATGCCGTCGCTGATTTATGCCCACTGTGTCTGTCATTGCCCATCAATGACTTCCAATCACTGAACCCCGTGAAAATACTATAAAAGCCCATGCAACCATGAAAGCTTATACATCGATGATTTCAAGATCATTAGCGCTGGCGTCAAGGTCGATGTACTTAAGGGGCAGAACAAGTCGATATGCACTGTTGCCATTGAGGTAGTATCGGTGTAGCTTCTTAGTGCGTAAAAAACCGAGCTGCTCGTACAATCGCATAGCAGCGACGTTGGTCTCTTCAGTCTCGAGGACAATTTCGTCCGCATTGCGCTTGGTCATGGCGTCGATGGCCTTCTTGACGAGGGTTGTTGCAATACCATGGCCACGGAAGTCAGAAGCAACGGCCAGCATGGCGATGTAGCCTCTTCGAGTGGGGTTGGAGTGTGAAGCATGGACTTCCAGCTTGCACACTATAACGCCGATGAGAGATGCGTCGACTGGGTTCAGTGCCTGAGGATATTTGTCAGATACCTTGGAATTGACTCGAGGGTGCATTGGTCTTACCATGAAGCAGAGATGTGCCCACTGGCATAAGAAATACCGATATACATAGATACTATAAGGCTCACTCAAGTCCTTTGAGATCAATGCCCGGATGGCGGGTAAATATTGAGCCTCAAGGGCATGTTCATATTGTACGTAGCGTAACTCGCCAGGAATGTTGTCAATTTTGGTAGGGGCCATGGGACTATGGGGATTTAAAGCAAATAGGAGAGACCAGACCGAATCTGGACAATCAGTTATACTGTTAAGAGTTGTGGTAGTAGAGTTGTGTTGAAGTTGATGTTTGGGTAAGATCTTAGATACGGGTGTTTGAAGGTTTAAAACCAGATCTTGACTTGACACCTAAAGAGGGGCAGGCAGAAATGGAGACTCAACCCGGTATCGGTGTGAGGGGTACCTAGGTAGACGACCTAGGTGCTGGCCTACAGGGTGTCAAGGAGGAAAGGAAGAGGCACGTCCAATAGGTAAGGTAGATAAGAGTCATTAATTCAAGAAAGAGGGTGGGAAGATCTCAAGATTTGGGGCTGGAGGTGGCAATATGCAATGCATTGGAGGTATCACAGCCAGCGCCTCCAACAGTTAATTGCCAGGTTTGGTAAACCGCACCAAAGAATTGATGCACATGGCCACGAGGGCAAGGCACGCAGGGCCGTTGGCAGGGATCCCGCTGTGGTACAGAAGTCAAGGGCGCTATTTTAAAGCCCTTTTTGATGTTTTTGTGGAGGAGAGGGCGGGGGCATTGGAGTAAAAAGGTCCTGCATGGCTCTAGCTGAGGTTTTGCATACCTATGGTCCGATCAAGCCGATATAAGCGATGGACAAATGCGTCTTTAACTTAGGTAAAGTCAATTTGAACTGCCTCAGGAAGAGGGAGACGGGAGACATGGAGAAAAGGGTCTGTGTCCCTCATCATTTGGAGTTCAAGCATGTGATAATGGAAGCTCTAAACTCCATAGCATGATGTATATCCCTTTTTTGTGGAATGGAATGGCTTGATCTCACTGCCTGTAGTACCTTACCTACTATGGTAGGTACCTAACCCTTAAAAAAGAGAAAAGAAGAGAAAGATGCCTGACTCTTTTATCCCTTTGTGATTTCGGCCTCTTCCGTTTCATCCGCTCGGCACTTTTTAAGATAAGTAGGTAGCATTATCTTGGCTTTGACGTCAGGTTCCTGCCTACCTATCAGGAACGGCAAGCATGTCCTTCCATTGAATGAGCTCCCTCCCTGGACTCTTGTCAATTTTCATGTGATGCACGCGACTCCCAAACACGGCGCAACTCTTTCATAATTACGTACCACGATCCGTGGCTTTAATGGAACTTCTATTATCATCCAGCGGATATTTTCTCACGTTCTAAATTAGACCAGTCGGTATATTTACTCTTCAACTTCCGCTGACAGATGATACGATTCTTTTGACTTCGGGCCTTGCGACCACCCCGTTTTTTGTTTTAGATTTAGAGCACGCGCCCACCCGCACCCAAGTTAAAGTACCTAGGTAGGCGTCCATGGGCGTCATAGCTACGAGCGACATTTCTCAAAACTCCAAGGATTCCCCTAGCCTATCTTGGTCGGGGGCCTTTTTTCCCTCCCAAACAACTGACTACATAAGACGACGCCTCGCAGAGGCTTGTTCTTGCTTGGATCGACAACATGGCGAAAAACCTGCGGCGCCGAAATGTTCAGAGTCAAGATGAAGATACGAAAACGAACGAGAGCGACGATGCTTCGAGGGAGGAAAGCTCAGCGACCGACCCGACAACGCACGTTCGTGTTGTCGAGCACGCCGTTCCAAAGACCCGGAAGCGGCGCAATACCTTCATTTTCTTTCTTGGCAGCTTGTTTGGAATAATCGCCGCCGGGTTTTTCGCTTCCAGCAATGATCTTATCGACCTTCCCGAGTTCACCGACTTGTCCATGGACAACCTATTAGATGCTCTGCCAGCTGGATTGGTCAAGGACATACGCGATCTAATCCAAGGCGAGCGCGACTTTGCAGAATCATATGAGCCTTTCTCTGTCGGAACCAAAGCACGAGCTGAAGGTCTTGAAGCACACCATCCCATGATCATGATACCAGGCGTCATTTCGACTGGACTCGAGTCTTGGGGAACAGCCAATATCTCAAAGGCTTACTTCAGGAAGCGGCTTTGGGGAAGTTGGACCATGATGAAAGCCTTGGTCATGGACAAGGAGGTCTGGAAGAAGCATGTGATGCTCGACAAGAGGACAGGCCTTGATCCGCCAAATGTGAAACTAAGAGCTGCCCAGGGCTTCGATGCCACCGATTTCTTTATCACAGGTTATTGGATTTGGAGCAAGATCTTTGAGAATCTTGCTTCGGTTGGCTACGACCCGACAAACTCCTTCACAGCTGCTTATGATTGGCGCTTGTCCTACCCTAACCTCGAGGTGCGAGATCGATATTTCACCCGACTCAAATCACACATTGAAGTTGCGCTGGAGGTGGACAACAGAAAGGTTGTCCTAGCATCGCACAGCATGGGCAGCCAGGTCTTGTTCTACTTTTTCCACTGGGTGCAATCAGAGAGAGGCGGCCGTGGTGGCCAGGACTGGGTTGAGCGACACGTCGAGGCTTGGATCAACATTAGCGGATGCATGCTCGGGGCAGTCAAAGATTTAACTGCTGTACTGTCTGGTGAGATGCGCGATACAGCTCAGTTGAACCCCTTTGCGATCTACGGCCTGGAAAAGTTTCTGAGCAAGGAAGAGAGGGCTGAAATTTTCCGCGGCATGCCCGGTATATCATCTATGCTACCCATTGGTGGCAACGCCGTCTGGGGCAATCTGACATGGGCCCCAGATGACTTGCCAGGTCAGAATCGTTCGTATGGATCTTTATTGAACTTCAGAGTCGGGTCGAACTGGACAACTCCTGATCGTAACTTCACTGTTGAGGAGGGCTTGTCCTACTTACTCAACACGACTGAGGATTGGTACCAGGATCAGCTCAAGGGAAGTTATTCTCGTGGCATTGCCCACACTATTGCCGAAGTCGAAGCCAATGAGCTGGACCCCAAGAAATGGATCAATCCTCTTGAGACCCGACTACCACTTGCACCTAGCCTCAAAATTTACTGCTTCTATGGCGTCGGGAAGCCTACTGAGCGAGGATACTATTACAGGTCCCCTGACCAGCCTCTGATGACAAACCTCAACATCACCATGGATACGGGCTTTACCGAAGGCGACGTCGATCACGGCGTTATCATGGGCGAGGGCGACGGGACTGTGAACCTCCTCAGCACAGGTTACATGTGCAATCATGGCTGGAACATGAAACGCTACAATCCAGCAGGCGTCAAGGTCACAGTCGTTGAAATGCCCCACGAGCCAGAGCGTTTCAACCCTCGCGGTGGACCTCGTACAGCTGACCACGTCGATATCTTGGGGCGATACAACCTGAACGAGCTACTGCTGCGGGTGGCTGGTGGAAAAGGTGACACGATTACGAACTATGTTGTCAGCAATATTAAAGAATATGCATCTAGAGTCAAGATTTATGATGATCACCATGAAGAGAACGAGGAGGAAAAGAGAAAGTCATAGATTGAGTGCCTCACAGCTTTTTTGGTAGCGGCCTTGGTGGTGTTGAGGTATTTGGTAATGACTCTGCTGTTTTTGGCAGCGGTTGTTGTCTGGCGTTTGGGAGCATTCACGTTATATGTTTTGCTTTGGCTTGGGATCCTCAAACCCTGATGCTAAATGGGGACATCAAAGAGGGTCACTTAATTTGTATCAACTATGACAATAGCGAAAGCTTCAAGATTATAGATTTCATCTTGCATCTGGCTGTACATTCAAGGCAACAGCTTCGGTGGAGTGTGATTCAATCTCTATGCAGGTGGTGTCTGATCAGACTGTGGCGGTCCCTACTATAGTGATCGCGACATGGATGACAGTACTAGCCACAATTGTTTACAGTAACAGGGATTCCTGGGCAGTGTTTAACTACATACATGAGAACAGATGTTGATGTAAGTTGATCCACGCTTTGTTCTATTGTTACTGTTGCTGTGTGGTCCGCCAAGCCAGCGCTCAACAGGCCTGGATGAGGTCACGGTACAGCTAACGGGCTTATAGCAACAACTGAGTCTCGACCCCGCCACCTGAATTCTCGAAACACAACCACAGCACAAAATTTGGCTTCGGCTTTGATTATTTTTTGCTCCATCTCAGGTTATGGTCTCGTCACCTCCAGGAGATGACCACTGCGCTCGCGTCTATCCCTGGAAGCCATTGTCAATTGGCCCGTCGTCCCGTCGTATCTACCCAGCGCAACATCCCCGGCCAGCTTCGTATCACGCATATCCAGTCTCAACAGGACTCGATGCCTTGGTCCCTGTACCCTTACGGAAACGAAGATCATGGCAGATTTCGAAGAAGCTCCCTACACTCATGAGGAGGACGAGGAGCAGTTATGGGGTGGTAAGTTTTGTTACAGGGGTTGCAACAGTAGAAAAAAAATGAAGGACACGAAATGACTGACATGATTGATCTTTTGTAGAACTTGATAAGTGCGTTTCGAGCAAATGCGATTCCCACGAAACGATCGACGATGCCCTGCGCACATGGATAGATTTAACGACACGCCTTCGCGACCATCTCTACGAATCTCAGGAAGAAGTCGTTACTTGCACGCGGATGCTTCTTGCTAGCGATCTATTCCAGGCCAACAAAGACTATGTTCGCACTCAGATTATCTATAGCTTGCTTCAGGAGGACGAGGCTGGGCCTCTGCACGCTATTGTTTCTCTTCTCCTCCTCGACGGGTGCCAGGATGAGACCATGTTCCCTCGCATGGTGAACGAGGCTTGCTTCCCCCGACTTTTGGAGCTGATCAATGGTCGCCGAGACCAGGACCCTGGTCTGCATCGCCTTCTTCTGCAGCTTATGTACGAGATGTCGCGTATGGAACGACTTCGGGTCGACGACTTGACCATGGTGGACGATGAATTCGTCCATTATCTTTTTGCATTGATTGAGGAATTGTCTGACGATGCGCATGATCCCTATCATTATCCTACCATTCGTGTTTTGGTAAGCAGCTTCCATCCCATCCTAGCTGCCATTGCTTACATAGACGCAGCTTGTCTTGAACGAACAGTATATGCTTGCGTCGACAGAAGTTGACGATTCTGCTTCGTCCAATTCGCCTCTGACGAACCGCATTGTGAAGTGCTTGAGTCTTCACGGAGCTTCGTTCCGAACGTTTGGCGAAAACATCATTTTGCTTCTGAACCGAGAAACCGAAACATCACTACAGCTACTAATTTTGAAGCTTCTGTATTTGCTATTCACGAACAAAGCGACATACGAATATTTCTATACAAACGACTTACGAGTACTTTTGGACGTCATTATTCGAAACTTGATGGATTTGCCAGATGAAAAAATGTCCTTGAGGCACACGTACCTACGAGTTCTCTACCCGTTATTGGCACACACGCAACTCAGCCAGCCACCTCACTATAAGCAGGATGAGATTCTGCGTGTGCTGAGCATTCTCCGAGGCTCGCACAATGTTCACTTTGCACCAGCAGACGACACAACGCTTCGTCTGGTTGACCGTGTATCAAAGGTCAAGTGGATAGAAGAAGCGCAGTCCCCCACGGTAGGATCCGGTGAGGCTGAAGTCGCCCGCAGATTCCTCGGTATAAGTCTATCACGATCGCAAACGGCGAGTAGTATCAGTGTAAGCGACGTAGCGGCAGTTAAGGAGAAGCCGGGAGTGCAGACACCGAGTCGATCAGGCGATGGAGGCGACGTTGCTACAGATGATGACAACGTCACAATGGCTACTCGACCCAAGAAGCCTTTGCCAGAGGTACCAAAACACCGCCATGGAGTGCCATTTGCGCAGAAGTTTGCCAACGGAGGACCGAAGAAGACACCCCCCAAGGCGCCGCCGCCGCGACGATGGGGACGGATGAAGACGGTTGAGAAGCCTCCTACTGACCCAGTTCAGGAAACGGTCACAGAGCAGGAAGCATGATACTATTGGACAGCTACTATCCTCCGGGACATGAACTTTAAACAGAAACATCCCGCTGGGCGGAGGGCACCGGTCGATAACCGTCACTGTGCGCTAGGAGAGACTCTCGGTTTGAAGATGGCGTTTGTGGAGCTTTCTACTGCACTTGGCTGGACACAAAGCATATGGCATGGCGTTTTGGGGGGATTTGGGCATTGGCCTTGGTAATGGCTTTGGGGAGATTGTAAGTAAACCGCGGCAAGTCTCTTTTTACGTGCTACTTTGTAGCAATAACATTGTAGAGTTAGTAATAGTGAAGAGAATGATAATTCTGTTCGACAATGGCATGTGATGATGGCATCATTGAGTGAACTGTGTAACTTGGCAATGTCTTGAAAGCTGTGATTGAGGAACGATGAGCTGAAGCTGTCTAAGCCTTCCTCGGATGCCTCTTGTTAATATCCCTCAAGGTGGATGTCATCGGCAGTCAATTTGCAGTGCCGAGCCGGGATGCGGCTCGTTCAGTACAAATCAAGATTAACTCAGATTTCATGGAGCTTTGAACACGGTTTTATCAAGATCCACAATCTCCATGCGGAGAAGATTGCAAAGTCATTCCTAGTTCAAATGTCTACGAAACACCGAAACAACAAGTTGCAGATCCGGGAGACGGCGATGCCGAGCAGATCTCAGCTTCAGTGGTGAAGTGGATGCACCCGTGGGAGCGACAAGTCTTGCGATTGAAAGGGATTGGCCGCATGTGAGATTGGGCACAGCCTGGGGGGTAATGACGATCGTCGTTGGGTTGTGTTGCGGTTCTGGTTAGTGTGAGGGCATCACCATTACCAAAACCAAAACCAAGATCAAGCAAGGGATGGACCCTTCTGGTGGCGCCCGTTTACGTCATTTGGTGGGGAGGATGCGTTGAAAAACTGGCTGCAAGCAGCTGAGCTGGGGTGTTCTTTGGGATCAAGATAGGTACTTACCAGTACTTGCAGAAGCTAGAGCCAGTCCAGGCACTAGAGATCGATAGGGGGAGATTAGTGATCCCAGTTCACGTCGCTAAAGTAGATGCAAGTACCGCGAATAAGCCCATTCGGTGTAAGTGCCATGAGCTCTCTTGGCGTGCGACTAGATGGAACTCAATGCCCCCCTTCTCCAAGCCCATCAACTGCATCATCCATTCATAATAACAAACATCACGACCAGTATCACTAACACAATCTACATCTGGCGCCTCAAAGATTTGACCGTGCTCTATGCCTATCTTTGGCACTTGTTGACTCAGTTGATTCCGACTACGCTCACTCTTTCTCTTCTCTAGGAACCTTACAAGCTCCTCACTCAGACCGAGGCTTAACAGTAAGTTAGTACCTACCTATCTCTAGAAGTCTCCTTCATTCTTTACTTCATCTTCATCTGCAACAACGGACTGGAAGACTCCTCCATTGTGGAACATATATCTCCTTTTGATCTTCAGTCTATTTCTATTACCCGCTGATTCTCAAACCTCCACTCCACAGTTTTCATTCAAGATCCTCCAAACAGAAGAAGCGACAGAGCCAAGGTACGCACGTCGTCGATTCACCATCATCATTGTCTCAGAAAGTTCCTCCACTGCGACGTGCAAAGGAGACGCTAGTCTCACGCTTTGAACCTCAAAGGGCCTCCAATCTAGTGCTAGCGGCAATCTGCCAGCAGTGAGGTTGTACGCCCATTGCGTCAACACCATCATCCCGCGAGCTCTACACCCTGATTTTTTTGGTTCTGCTTGGGCTGCCTGCACAAGCTCGCCCAGCAACCGGCTCAATCCAGCCCAACCCGACTGGAACCCCTCCACTCAGTGCCGTTACTGACTTTCTAGGCTCTAGGATCTAGGCTCTTCTCCCCTTCCGTCTCGGATCCGTCCCCCATCTGCTCGTGGTCCATTCCGTCGTTTCTGTTTCTCTCGGTTGGTCCTTGCTTGCTCTAGCTCAGGTTGTTAATAAACTACGGTACTCGGCTTGCGTAGTACTGTAGGAGAAATAACAACGCCACCTCCGCCATGGATCTACCTCCTTCTCACTCTCATCAATCTCATCCTTCGTCATTTCCCCAACAGGCGTCTTATCCATACTCGTACGGTCACGATTCTTCTCCAGAATCATCCTCGGCTTCCCACCAGCGTGCAACTGCTGCCAATACCACCGCCAACGCACACACGCAATCACATTCTCAGCACGACGATACCTACGATCTGTCAAATTCAATTCACGCGCCGCAACCGCTGTCGCAACAAGGAGGTCGTTTCACCGAGGAATGGGGTGCAGCACCGCGCGGGCCTTCAGTCCTCCTTGATTATCCTTCACCAAGCGCAAACATGCAGCGCAGCAATTCGGTGCATAGCTTCGTGACTGGTGATGACCAGCAGCTCCCGGCTCGTCAGAACACGCTCAAGAAGAAGAGCTCTGTCCGCCGAAATGGGAGTCTCAAGCGTAGTAGTAGCCGTCGCTCTATGAGAGCTGGCAGCGTTAAGAGTCTTGCCTTACAATCTTCATCAGACCATGATGAGGCGCATAGTGCCTTCTATTGCCCAGTCCCTACGTCGGGCAATCCTACCGAGACACTCTCGAACCGATTCCAGAACTGGAGAAAGGTGCTCAAGGATCTGATCGCATACTTTCGCGAAATTCAAAATCATTACGAACAACGCTCCAAGTCGCTCCTCAAACTCGCCAACGTGGCCAACAATATCACTACCCCACCCGGTTTTCTTCAGTCAGCTGGAATAGATGATGCGCTCCAATTCTTACGAATTTACAACAAGAATGCTATCCTCGAGGCCAATAAGGCCAAAGAAATTGAAGAGGATGTTATTCTTGCACTCACTGGATTGAGGAGCGACCTCCAACAGAAGATTAAGGAGATCAAGAACCTTTCAGGCGACTTCAAGAACTCAGTCGAGAAGGAGATGGACCATACTCGCAAAGCTGTCAAGACGCTCAGCGATATCCTTGGCAGAAATGAGTTGGATGAATCTTCAACCACTGGCAAGCAAGATCCATACCTACTGCGCCTGGCTGTCGACCGTCAAGTTGAGCGTCAGCTGGACGAGGAGAACTATCTCCACCAAGCTTATCTCAACCTGGAGAATTCCGGGCGAGAGCTGGAAGCGATTGTTGTTGGAGAGATTCAGAAAGCCTACAACGCTTATGCTGGCATTCTTAAGCGGGAGGCTGACAATTCCTATAACGTCATCGGCGAGCTTCGAGATGGCCCTATTGCCATGCCCAAGGACCACGAATGGACGCATTTTGTGACTCACGATGACAAGTTCGTTGACCCAAGCATTCCGCTCAGGACACCGGACCAGATTCATTACCCCGGACAGGACCATGAGGCAGCTCAGGAGATTCGAGCCGGATTGTTGGAGCGCAAGAGCAAATACTTGAAGAGCTACACAGCCGGCTGGTAAGCATTCGTTGTCAAACCGTCGTGATCAGAGAAATTAACCAAGTTGCTAGGTATGTACTTTCCGCTACGCATCTCCACGAATTCAAGTCAGCGGACAAGGCGCAAGCCCCTATCATGTCTCTTTATCTTCCAGAACAGAAAGTAGGATCCCACTCCAACGAAGGAGGCTCTTCGAACAAGTTCATCCTTAAGGGTCGCCAAACTGGCGGCATGCACCGCGGACACACTTGGGTCTTCCGTGCCGAAAGTCATGACACCATGATGGCTTGGTACGAGGACATCAAGGCTCTCACCGAGAAGACTGCCGAGGAGCGAAGTCAGTTTGTTCGAAGCCATTCTAGAAGCCTTAGCCGATCATCCCGACGATCAGTTAGTAGCGATGGACTGGTCGACGAGGAGGACGAGGAGCCCTTCACAGCCGATACTGAATCATTTACCAATCCGGGACCAAGACAACATGAGGCAACTCCCCGGCGATCTCAAGCAGGTGGGCGGTTCCCATCTGATATCCAAGTCAATGCGCAACGTGGCTTACAGGCCCCTCATTCGCCTTCTAGTGTAAGCTCTGGCTTCCAGGACAACAGGGACCCCGCTGTACCACCGATTGTCACGGGTGCCCTTTCTGGTCTGGCCGCTGGAGAATCGGAGCAGGGCAGGGACGACCATCCGGGCTATGGGACTGTTCACCAGACGCCCATGGATGAGATGCCCTCGCATGCTGCAATCGCAAGCCAAAAGGCCCATTACGACGGTGTTAACCCTTATACGAGCGAGCCAGTCAATCAGACTCCCGTTGAGCCGGTCCCCCTCCACCAACAGCAGCAACAGCAACAGCTATACCAGTCACAGTATGAATCGCAGCAGCCTGTGCAGCTGTCAGACTACGTCGATCAACACCAAGACCAAACCTTTGTTCCTGTTGTGATCCCCCAGGGTAAGGATGAGCGCGATGGCAATTTTGCCAATAGTGAACAACGCCACTTTGATGAGCAGCCTAACAATCATACTATGGAGCCACGAGAGGAGCCATATGGTGGATATACAATCAGTGGAGCTAGCCATGAGGCATCGAGCTATGAGCAGCCTTCATATCCTCAGGCGTCATATGACAATCAGCCCAATCACAGCTATGCCAATGGCGATGCTAAGGGCAACAGTTACACAATGACAACTGTGGGAGAGGGCTTTCCTAGACTTGATGGTGGAGCAACTGAAGAGCGACGACCATCGACTCGAGGAGGCGAATCAGTCTATACCGAGCGTGACTCTGTTCTTCTCCAGACTGACGATGAAGATGAGAAGTCTGTCCCAATCCGGCCATCCGGTAACAACCGGACTGAGAGTCATAACACCATCTCAAACCTGCATATTCCCGGCGGTTACCCCAAGAGTACTCAAGCATAGGATGGGGCATCAGTATTCGAGTTTTTCCCACATTGTGTGCCCTTTTTTGTTTTCCTTATTGTTATTTTTACTTTGCTGTGATGGAGAGAAATGATTTGGGAGGATGGTACAGCGTTGGCTGACGAGAGGCGTTGGTCAAATGTGTTGATGGGACGGTTACAGTACGGTTTGAAATGGAATATCCCTCGTTTGGCTTTGGCTTGGTTTCGCAAAATATTTACCTGGATCGGTGTGATGAGATATCTTAGTCTGTTTCAATTGATTGAAAAGTTCAGCGCGTATCATGAGTTTCCAGTGACTTGAAGTTAACGAGACCATGCATCACTGGTCAAAAAAGATGTTCATTTACAGCCCCCAGCGTCTCTAAGCTTGTTCTATCAATTATGTCATCTGACGTTCATCCTTTGATATCTGAGGTTGGTACACGATATCGGTAGGATGGTTTTTCCGTCTCCAGTTGCATCAGCCAATCGGGCCGCTCTAAGCTAGCTCCCGCAAACCTTCGGTGGACACTCTTTGCAAAATTTCACACGGCAAAAAAAAAGTTCAGCATTCGACCTACGCGGAAACGATTCCAAGGCCCGAACGAACGACCAAATCCCCAGCTACGGGCATCAACCGAAACAGAATCGAACGAGCAGCCGAATCGCGAAATTCTCATCTCTTGAATTTACATCAATTGGCGACAGCGCAAACTCGATAATCATGTCTTTCCGTGGAGGTTCGCGCGGACGCGGCGGTAGTGGATTTGGAGGCCGTGGCGGTGGTACGTCTTTATTTCTTCGTCGCGCGATTGATTTTGGGGGAACTGGCTCTCGGCGGTGCAAGAGACGTCGGAACCATGCGAATTGGGGCTGTTCTGGGAGTGATTGGCTCTAATAGCGGTGTTTTGCGTGGATTCAAGATCAACTACTAACGAACTGTTTCCAGGCCGCGGTGGCTTCCAACAACGAGATATGGGCCCTCCTGCTCAGATCCTTGGTATGTATATCATCATGTTCTATCCGGAATCCCATAACTAACATTCTCAGAAATGGGCAAGTTCATGCACGCTTGCGAGGGCGAGATGGTCTGCGAGTCCATCAACCCCAAGGTCCCTCACTTCAACGCCCAGATCTTCCTCGAGAACAAGACTGCCGTCGGAAAGGTCGACGAGGTCCTCGGCCCCATCAACCAGGTCTTCTTCACCATCAAGCCCACAGAGGGTATCCAGGCCACCTCTTTCAAGGAGGGCGACAAGTTCTACATCGGCTCAGAGAAGCTTCTGCCCCTCGACAAGTTCCTCCCCAAGCCTAAGCCCCCGCCTGGAGCTCCCAAGCCCAAGCGTGCCGGTGGCGGTCGCGGTGGTGCCCGCGGTGGACGTGGCGGCTTCGGTGCCCGAGGCGGTGGCCGTGGTGGTTTCGGCGGCGGCCGTGGAGGTCCTCGAGGTGGTGCTCGTGGTGGTTTCGGTGGCCGCGGAGGTGGCCGCGGCGGCAGCGGTGGTTTCTCACGAGGTGGAAGCGGCTTCGGTGGTGGTCGCGGACGCGGTGGCTTCAGCCGCGGTGGCCGATAATCTCCTTGCCACAACGACGGCTGCGGATCACTTCTGTTATTAGGGAGGACTAAGCGACTACGCGACCCACGAGAGCTGCTTAAAGGAAATGGGGATAGAAAACCATGGAATCTAGGAGGAGGGAAAGAAAGAAGAAAGAAGGGATTGACATGTATTTCTCTGGCGTTGGACGGTATCTGATTTTCCAAAGTGCTTTGCTTGGTTTGGCTTTCCCACATGGCTCTATATCCCAAATCCCGCGATCGCCATGCTCGTATGATACGGCATCGGATTGGAGTTTGTATGTACAGACACAAGAGGATTCAACGAAGAAGACAAGAGAGAAACCGAAATGAACGGGCAACCTTTTAAACTTAACTCATGTCTTTGTTGTGAAATGTGTACATTTTCATTAGACTGTATCTCCTGTCCACGCCCACGGAGTATATATAAGGCTCAAAGTCTATAAGCTCTTGAACGCCATGCAAACAACCGAAATCACTCCTCTCGGCGTCTGAGTAACGCCGCGCACAACAGGCCAAGGGCCAAGATAAAGGCCAGCCCTCCTAGTCCTAGACCAAAGTAATGCGCATCTCGATATCCTCCAAAGGTGTCCTTGTCACCGCTCTTACCCATTTCCACAGCTCCAGCCATACCCAGCCCTACTGAAAAGGCAAAGGCTGCTGCTGTATTAGTGATGCTGTTTGCGAGCCCCAGTTGTCCCTCTGGCACATCTCGTCCGAGCACAGTTGAGGAAGCGGGAACAATCAACACCATGCCAACTCCCATGAAGATGGCGCTGACAAACGAGTTGGCCCAATAAGCTTGCTGAGCTGGGGCTGACGCCAGGAGAGCCGAACTAATCAGAATGGCGATTGATGAGACCACCATGCTCAACTGTGCAGTAAAATCGCGGTTTGCGAAGGGCCAGCATCCAAAGGCGATAATAACACCAACCACTAGTACTGGCATAAGAGCAACACTCGTGAGAAGGGGACCCCAACCTCTGACAACTTCGATGAATTGTACGAAATACCATGCCCAGACTCCAAATGCTGCTGATGCAGCTGTCACGAAGCCAAGTGTAATACCAGCAGCCAGGTGAATCTGCTTAAATGGCACTAACGGGTGACTGGCCTGTGATTCGAAGAAAGTGAATAGTGGAATAAGTATGATGCCTGCAATGATCAAGATGTACGCCTGGGGAGTGTCCCATCCCACAATGGGCGCCTGGTTCCAACCAACGCTGAAAAGGATCAAGGCAGCGATTCCAAACGCGCAACCCAATATATCTAACCGCTTCCACAGGTTGCCTTCGAAATTGTAGACCAAGATTCTCTTTGCTGGGATGACAAGTACGCTTGAAATACCTAGGGCTGTACATACCGCGGCCATGCTGTAAAAGGCCCATGGCCACGAGGCGTAATTAGCGAACAAGCCCGTCATGACCGATCCAATGACAAATCCGAAAGGGACAGAGGCATCGAAAAATCCCATCACAAGCATCTTGCGAGGCCCAGGAGGATAAGCCCTCACCAGCATTCCGTGTCCATTTGGAATAACGAATGCAGGGCCGATGCCTTGCATAGCTCGACAGAAGCAGAAGAAGATGGCTCCTCCATTGTCACTCGTCTGCACATACACACTGAGACCAGCAAGCAGGCTCCAAAGGGCGAACCAAATATATCCAGCGATGAAGGTATATCTTTGACCGCAGACGTTCCCGATCCGGTTGCCAAAAAGAGTGGTCGCGCCATAACTCAGTGCAAACGCCGATGTGAACCAAGCAAGGTGTGTTGTACGCTCTGGTTCGAAGAATGATTCTCCAATTCGTCGGGCAGATGTCAGTGTCTGTGCAAGACTGGCATATGTCAGAACCTGTGCCATACATATGACGGCAACAAAAAGGCTTTCGTTGGTAGCATGGTTGAACTCGATCATCCTGGCCCCCTCGTTCAGAGGTTTCCTCCGCAAACCTTGATTTGCGGGTGAAGAAGGGTCTGTGTCGGATCCCGCACGAATGTGGGTGACCGTGCCTAGTGGGAGAGATCGTGTACCCATGTCCGGCCTCAGAGCTATGTATTGGTGATGCTGTGTGGTTCCTCGGAAGGCTTCAAAGCGTCTGGCAGCTTGGACAAGTCCACCATGGTTGACCGAAAAGTCTGATGGCGTTGGGCCTGTAGGAACAACAGGAGTTTCATTTGGGCGAGGCTCGGTCAGGTTTCCTGGAACGCTAAATCGTGGGGGTGGTGTATGAGGTGTATCTAATCGTGATGGTAAGTTTGGTGTTGCCAGTCGAATCATGTCTTCAGGGACTTGTGCTGGAGTCTCGGCCATTTCCGTTTCCATTTCACGGTCAAGGAGAGAATCTGTCTCGACATTTGGAGGTCGTCCTGGCATAATTGATGTATGTATATAGTTGCCTCGATGCGGTGAAACGGGTGAGACCGTCATCTCTGATACACTCATCTGGCTCACTACATCCATGTCCAGCAAATTCACATTCTGGGATATTTCGCTGACGCTTGAAGGACTTCGGGCATGAGAATGCGAGTATAGCTGAGAATTGGAACGAGAGTGAGAGTAATCTCCAGGCTGAGAGTGAGAATTGAAGTTTGTGTAAGTTGGAGCTGGTGCTCCTGGAGAGTAACCACCATATTGTTGTTGATAATGATGGTGAAAAGATTCCGTGACGGCGACCATGGTATCAGTAGCATGTTGAACGGCAGAGTTAGATCGATTTATTTCTCGGCGGGCCTCAGACTTTTCAGAGTCTTGTCGTGATACGTTCCGAAGCGGCTCCATCGTGAAGTTGGTGATAAGTCAGCAACGCCAGGGTTAGCAATAGTCGCCCCTCATGTCCTCGTTTGTAGATGTTTTGGAAGTCGATTATGGTTAGAGGAAAGTAGCAAGATGTTATTAGTCAATAAAGCAGACGATCAAGGCTGAGGGACCATCATGACTGAATCAGAAATCATAATCGAAGAGAATCAGAAATCAAGCAATCGAGATATAGTCAGGGACGCTTGGGGGTTTTAGTCAACGGGAAAGGCTGCGCTTACAGCTTACAAGGAGGGTAATAACCCATGCCTCAAGCTGTAAGTAGGCAGGTAGGCATGTCGATTCATAGGATGGAAGCTCATCCATACCGCTCCGTAAGCCTTCAGGGCTGACTCGCCCCCGCAACTAAGCTTAGCTTTTAAGGCTCAGACTCTGGTTCAGGGTCCGGAGGTTTAGGACCTGACACTTCCATGTCTTGGCCCAACCGTTAGTTTTTGAACCGAGATGAGGGTGGGTAGTGTAGTGTATGGTTAAGCCAGAAATAGAATCATCGATCTTGCAAGTCGTCACAAGCTGTAGGAGAAAGAGACTTTCGCCTCTGTGAGAATTCTTGTTGGTAGTGATCTGCTTGTCTTGATAATTAGTCCCCCTTTTGGTAATATCGTCTGACTTGCATCACAAGGTTCTG